GAACATAACCAGGAGCACGACACTGAAAGACATTGCAATATATTGGCTCATCAGAAGTTTGCAACTTACGAACATCTTCAGAATTTGGATCTCTTGCACCAGGAACTTTACCAATGAAGACGCTGCAGAACGTTATAGGAGCCCTTGACACATCAGCCCATCCAACATAATATGGACACCTGATGAGACGCCAATAAGCAACATTTACATATTGCAATTAGATTCATCAACATCACGAAGAACTTGTTCAGAGACTAATATACATGAACAGCCAGTGTCCCTGAGGTTTGTTGAGACTTACGATCCGTTGACGGTTCCAGAAGCAGGATATTTACGAGGTGAACAAAAATTAACCTTCTGGTATGAAGAATTTTCATTGGAGGCCAAAGGATTTTTAGGTCAACAGGGTCTAATATGACCCTCTTCTCCACACCTATGACGTTACTTTAGATTTAGGTTGCACAGTTAAATTATCAGGAACTACTGACCTAGTTTGAACAATCCTCTTACCTTTCTGTGAGCCAACATTGAACTCAGAGTAGGAGCTATGTGCAGAAGCCCAGTTACCTGCCAACCTTACAGCCTCTTCCAGAGTGGACACATTATCATCTTTGATGGAAAAGAAGATATAAGTTGAAGAAGAATCATTAAAGATCTTATACTCTCATAAGTTTGATTAACTCTACTTCCTTTTACTGAATTGTCGAACATTCGTCCTAACATGATGGAAAATTGTTCGATAGTTTAACCATATTTTATTTTTTAATTTCTGAAATCTAGTCTGTAACCATCAGGAGTTTTACTAAATCCTTTTAAAAGACCCTATTTTAGTAATTCATAATCGGCAGTAATTTCAGGAGATAAACTGATATAAATGTCAACTGCTTTTCTAGACAAAAGATTATCTAAACTTACAGCATAAGTATCAAGATTAATATTTAATAAGCTGGCAATGCTTTCAAAACGTATGAGATAGGAAGCGATGTCATCCCCATCTTTTAACGCTGACAAAGTGGGTCGAGACTTTCAATAGCAACATAGTGAACAGAAACAATAATGGTATCTTCCAAACTATCACTTACCGTAAAGCGACTTTCACTGGCCTCGGCCTACATTTTCTCAGTTACATCCCGTATATTTACAAAATCAATAGTGTGAAAACTCTTATAACTAGAGCCTACAATCTATGTAGCACCTGGAATGCCTTCCATAATGAACTGTCATTTCTGAAAAACTGTTTTATTACTAATGGGTACCCATTACAGTTGTGTGATAAAATTACTAAAACCTTTCTGTGTAAGAAATTCACCAATTTACAAATTGTCTCCACGGTGAAAAGAGACCATAGATATGTTAAACTACCCTACATGGGTGATCTAAGCTTTGAAATCAGGAAACGGTTAAAAACGCTCATGCAAAATAATTACCCCCAGATTAAATTTACCTTTGTCTTTAGTAACAACACAATAGCTAAGTTCTTAAAACATTCTTTAAATCACAGCTCTGACTTATGTTCTAATGTGGTATACTTATTTACCTGTCCTAGCTGTCAAGCTAGGTACGTGGGATCCACCTCTCGTTGGCTACGTCACCGCATCTCCGAACATAAAGGCAAGTCTTTCAGGACTGGCCTCCCGCTGAGCAAACCATCCTTCTCGGCAATAAGAGAGCATTCCCAGTTACACTCACACCCTTTTTCTACCACAGATTTTAGTATTTTGTCATCTCACTCCTCCCCACTGGACCTCATCACCTCAGAATCCCTCCTGATACAAAAGATGCAACCAGAGCTAAACAACGTAACCACAGCGACCCCCTTGTTTACCCACTAGACTGCTCATCTCCATAAACTCCTTTTTTGGGTTCGTTTAACATTGATTTTACGTCTCTAAATGTTTTATATATATTTATATTGTGTTCATGTATTTTTTTGTATTTTTTGTATATATTTTCTGTTAATATTACGTTTATTCTGTTCACTTTATTACGTTTTTGTAAAACCAGAACGCTTTTATATTTTTACATAGTCTAATGACCCTTCTATCTGGTTAATTACAGCATTGATAATGAAGGCATGTAATCCTTCGAAACATCTGCTAGATCAATAAAGATGAGATTCTTCACGGCCGTATTTATCTACCTCTTCATACTACTCAAACCCATTACGGAATATATAAGGAACAAATATGGCAGGACGACACTCAAAATCTTCAGAAGGACCGAGAAGCTCTCCTTCCGTTCTAAGAAACTGCAGGACATCCAGTTTCTAAGACTTTGTAAAAACTATCAAGTTATCCCAAACTTTGTTAACCTCCGTGTTCACAACCCAATGTTTGAACGTACTTAAATATATCGTTCTTGGTGTTTTCAACTTCTTAACCGTGAAGTTGCTAGTCAGTTGAAAAAAGAGACATCTGTCATTAAGGATCTCAACAAGAATTTAACTTTACTAAAATCCACAATATCTCCTCTTGATTTCATTTGTGTGTCAAGGTTAATT